CTTGGCCTCCACAGGGCTCCGCGCTCCAGCCACCCACTGGGGAGCTGTGGCCGCTGCCTGCTCTGGGTGCTGGGGACCGCTGCTGTGGCGGGGAGCAAGGGGGGCTGGGGGGCCGCCCACCCCCCCCCTGGGGGGCACCATCGAAGAGATGCCCTGTGCGTGGGCTGCGTGCCCGTGGGAGCCTCTGCTGATGGGCAGGGAAGGACGGGGCCGGCGCAGGGATGCAGGCGGATGGGGCTGTAACGGCGTTTTGCTGCTTCTACTGAGGAACACGTTAGTGGTGGTGTTGGACTCGCAGCTCTGAGCAGCGCTGCTGAGCCAGCTCTGCTCTCTGTGTCCTGCAGCTCCCTCTCCACAATCCTGCGCTAATAAATATTTCAGTCTTTCTCGCTGTTATTTTTAGGTATGTGCGAGAAGGCCGGTTTCGGATCGAGGAGAGGACGCTGACGGCTTTCCAGTGGCTGTACTCGCCCCACCAGCACCGCATCGTCAGCCGGGCAGACCTGGGCTCGCCCAGCAGGTAAGGGGGGGGCCAGCGGGTGCAGGGCCATGGGGAGCACTGGCACGTCCCCCGGCAGTGCTGCCAGCAGCCCGCTCTGTCACGAGCCCTCGTGGTTTTGACGTGGGTCCCCGGAGCCTCAGCCTGTCTCTGGGGGCCTGCAAATATCTGAGCATCTTGGGTTTGGCTTTAAAGTAAGGTTCCAGATGCAGGGGCAGCCAGGAGCTGCGTGCGTGGCATGAGCACCCCTCTGGTTTAAAGCACTGCAAAGGACAAATTACTGACTGCCTCTCCAAAATTTTATTTTTAAAACCCCTGTGCTTTTGGTCACGCACACAATCTTTTGAGGACCTGCTTTATGCATGTAGCACACTTGAGGTTTAACTAAAAAATAAATTGGGAGTCAGGGGCTGCGTATCTCCCACCTCTGGAAAATATGTGTTCCGATACCCTGATTTCATGTGGTGCTTAAACTCTCCCCTTCGCAGCTGGTTGAGAACATGTCTCGGAGCCAGGTCCTGGGCGTGTGCCGTGGCTCTCCTTGCTGATGCATATGCATCGCTGTCGGTTTGGATCCCAGGGTCTGGTGATAAAACGCCATTAACATAAAAGCCTTGCGGGCCTCAAGACCCATCTAGCGCAGTGTCTGTTTTGCTGCCTGTTAAGAGCCCTGAACCACCCCGAGTCCCTGGGCGGGCGTGCGGCTAAAAGCTTTTCCCTCTGTGTTTCGGCAGCAGTTTTGCTCTGAGAGCCCTTAAAGCCCTGAAGTATTTATCTCCCTGGAATCGCGTGTGCCAGAATAACAGCAGGAGGGAGGGGGTGCCCTACACGCAGGGCTCGCTGCGGAGGAGCAGGGGCTGCCCGGGCTGAGCCCCCTCCCCAGGATGGGAAAGGGCTGCGGGTGCTCTTGGGGGCTCCCTGCAGGGTGAGGGGTCTCCAAGGGGGGGGACAGTGCTGCAGACCCCCTGGGCTGGGGGGTGGGGGGAGCAGGAGGGGGGTGACATCCAGGCCTGGAAGAGGTTTCCAGGAGCAGGAGGGAGGCGCCCCGCTTTCGTCAGTGGGAGCCCTGGTGTGTCCGTGTGCTGCGTCTGGCTGCTTCCCAGGATGGCGATTCCTCTGCCTTCAGCCGGAGAGGCTTTCCAAAAACTGAAATTACCATGCTGATTATTGATTTTAACTAATTTTTGCAAATTGCTATCAAAGGCTGCATTAATCTCGCCCCTGAGGCACATATATCATGCAGCACGTGGAACTGAAATGCGTGTAACGTCATTTATAATTAATGTTAAGTACCATTGGGGTTAATTCCACTGGATTCATTTGATTTCCCAGTGGGCTGAGAAGTTACCTGGAGCAGTCTGGAGTGAGTGGGGCATCAGTGGCCAGTTATGAATGGTGTCTGCATCCCTCTGAAGGGGATAAAATCTTTACCCAGGTGGCAGCTGGGGCTGTCACCCAGGGCAGCCCAAGTGCAAACTCCAGCTCAGCAAGTCCCAGGTTTGTCTAAGTCTGACCCCACAAGCAGGCAGGAGAGCAGCCCCGCTCGGGGCCAAGGCTGCATTGGGTCGTGCTGTTTGCTTCGGCAGCTGCTCTGTGGGCCGGGGGGGAGGAGGAAGCCCCATCAGGGATGTGTTACTGTCTTTAAGCCCCACATTTGTTCCTGGCAGCAGGGAGGCGTCCTGCATCCTCCTGGCCCAGCACGTCCCCACTGGTGGGTGGGGGACAGGGCACGGTGAGCGGGCAGCCGTGCCCACCTCCCAGCGCTGACACCCGTCTCTGCAGGCTTCAGCTGGGGAGCATTTTAGTGCCTCGGGTGGCACACTGACACCAGGATGCTCTGTGGCATTTCAGGCTGTCACATTATTTATCCGTCACATTAATCGGATCACTGTCTCTTTTGCGCTTGATGCTTTTTCTTTGCATAATGGTGGTGACACAGCTGAGGAAGAGGATGGCTGATCTGCTGGAGGGGCTGATGTAACAGGTGTAACTTATTATTTTTATTATTTGTATGCATTAATGTACTCATGGGTCCTGCCTGAGCAGAACTTGATAGAAGGATGAGTGTGCAGGTCCTGTTCCCTATGGCTCTTCACGCAGCCGGGTTGGTTTTGCCCTGGTCCCCCCCCACAGCCATGTGTTTGGGAGCAGCAGGCACACTGCCGCTGGCAAATCTGCTTTGGCTGGGATGGGCTTCTCCTTCGGCACGGGAAGGCTTTTGGCAGCTGGGCCCAGCCGCCCGCTGCCGTGGAACAGAGCGGTGTCCGTGGCTGGTCGGTTTGCAGCACAGAGCAAACCTGGGTGTGAGAGACCGCGATGGTTCTAGAGTCGCGTGGCTGTCGGTCACCTACTGTGAGCGCTGGCCTGGCCAAGCCCTGTGCGCCGCTGGTGCACTCCGGCAGGGACCAGGCAGCGTGGAGGCAGCCGGCCGGGGAGCAGCGTGGGGTGCGGTGGGCTGCCCAGCTCAGCCCCGAGTGCCTTCGGTAGCTGAAATCATCTATGTTGGTGTTCAGTGCTGTTAAATGGGTTTCAGGGATGCTGAAAAAGGGAATTGCATTGGTTTCACTGAACTTCTTTGGGAACCAGTGGGACCAAAGCGATATGCAGCATGTGACAACTGGGCTGATGAGCTCTGTGGTTGCAGGCTCATCCTTTGGGCTCTGCTGGGTGACAGCAGTGTGGGGCTGGGGTGGGTGCCCCATCAGCTAGAAAGGATGGAACTGTTGGTGGGAATGGAAATTTTGCCTTTCAGTGGGTCCAGGTTTTGGCCCTAGAAGCTCTTTTTTCATCTGGTCCAGTCTGTGTCTGTCTTGAATTCAGGTGTAACAGATGAAGGGGCTCACATGGAAGATTGGAATCATAGGATGCTTTGGGTTGGAAGGGACCTTCAGAGGCCATCTAGCCCAACCCCCTGCAGGGACATCTTCAACTGGATCAGGTTGCTCGGAGCCCCGTCCAACCTGGCCTTGAATGTTTCCAGGGATGGGGTCTCCACCACCTCTCTGGGCAACCTGTTCCAGTGTTTTGGCACCCTCATTGTAAAGAATTTCTTCCTAGAGTCTGCTTTCAAAGCTGAATCCCAAGGGGGTCGCTCCATTTTCTAGTTACTTTTTCACAAACCAGCCCTTTCACCCTAGAAGCCCCAGGCAGGTTCAATGGGCGAGATTCCCAGCTTTTGCTGGTGGGTATCGCTCCCGCAACCCTACCCGAGTCCCCCGTCCGGCAAACAACCCTTGCCCGGGAGCCCATCACACCTCGAGCCTCACATTCTTACCCCACACCCCCGCTCCAAGGGACTCATCCCCAATTTCCAGCTTGTTGAGCTGCTTCGCCGGGGCAGGGTGAGGCGTAGGGGGGTGGGCAGAGCAGGCCCCGGCCCCCC